TATCTCGACTGGGATTTGAACCTAGGACCCCTACATTTCCAGTGTAATGCTCTACCAACTGAGCCACCGAGACCTGTCTCATTTCTCCCCAGTAGATCAAGTCTTTCATCGATTTTTAAGTTGTTAGTTTGTGACCATCGGCAACCTTCGGCGGTTACCGTTGGTATGGGAGTGAGTTAGGAGGTATGGGGAACACATTCGCAATTAATGGTTGTTTGGAATCCATTATCCCTTCAACCAGATGCGTCGTCGACATATAGCGACATCGGCAGGCATCGGAATCGGACGCCCAACCATCAATATCAAGCCAAATATTTTTACAATTTACGCATCTGGTTGAAGGGATAATGGATTCCAAACAACCATTAATTGCGAATGTGTTCCCCATACCTCCTAACTCACTCCCATACCAACGGTAACCGCCGAAGGTTGCCGATGGTCACAAACTAACAACTTAAAAATTGATGAAAGACTTGATCGACGGTAGAAATGAGACAGGTCTCGGTGGCTCAGTTGGTAGAGCATTATACTGGAAATGTAGGGGTCCTGGGTTCAAATCCCAGTCGAGACAAGAAAATTTTTCATCAACTTTTAATTCATGCGTCTGCATGCCACTAAAATTAACACTCTTTAAATTATATAACAGACGATAAAAACTCTAAAAAATTGTAAAAATATTTGGCTTGATATTGATGGTTGGGCGTCCGATTCCGATGCCTGCCGATGTCGCTATATGTCGACGACGCATCTGGTTGAAGGGATAATGGATTCCAAACAACCATTAATTGCGAATGTGTTCCCCATACCTCCTAACTCACTCCCATACCAACGGTAACCGCCGAAGGTTGCCGATGGTCACAAACTAACAACTTAAAAATTGATGAAAGACTTGATCGACTGGGTAGAAATGAGACAAGTCTCCGTGGCTCAGTTGGTAGAGCATTACACTGGAAATGTAGGGGTCCTGGGTTCAAATCCCAGTCGAGACAAGAAAATTTTCCATCAACTTTTAATTTATGCGTCTGCATGCCACTAAAATTAACACTGTTTAAAATATATTTTAAATTTCAAATTATTCTCGTTGGCGCGAAAACGATTAGCTTCAAGATGGTGGAACTTGTGACGTCAACTGTCTGTAAACATAACGTTAAGATCTGTTCTCACAAGAGCCTCTCACACTTTGCAAACTGTCAAAAAGAATCGCTTAGCTTGAACCTTCGACGGACGAATTCGTTCTACGACTCAAGAGTGAACCACGAATGGACCGTGGATTCACGAACAGTTGACGTCACTGGAAGCGGCCATGTTAAACGTAACTTTTCCGCGCGATGTTACTTTTCAATTTAAAACTAATAATTGCCGTATGACTATAATATCCATAAATTTGATACAAAACTGCTCATAATCAATATTTTACAGAAAAATGTGCACCATAAAAACAAAATTAGCAATATTTATTTCTCATGGGAATTCCCTATTTAATCGACCTATTTTTTAGGTATTCTATGTGAGGTCCTACTGTGAATTCTTTATTGATTATCACCCCAAGGTCCTTTATGATCTCTCTAATCAGTTCCTGATTATTTAATAGGAATATACCCATAATGGAATAACGATACAACATCGAGTTTTCCTTTTTCATTAGTGTACTTAACTAAGTTTTAGAAAAAAAAATGCAGCTACGTCGGTATTACTCTGGAACAGCGAATTACTCAAGAAGCCGCGTGATGGGTACTCATGGCATCGGATTATGAGATGCTTTCCCAAAATTCTTTTTTATAAATATGACGAAGGAACTTAATCCCTGTAATTTTTGATCTTGAATCTTGGTCAACAACTCACTAAACAGTCGCTAATAAAATGAGGACGAAACAGGATCTGGTTCATGCAGATTTCTTTCGCAATAATTCTTAAGATTTGAGACTTGTTGATTGTGCACTATGTGGTTGGCATTCACGTGACAGGGTAGCGGCTACTTACTCCGCGTCTTGATAAGATCGCGTGAAGATTCACCTTGTGTGACGGAATACTTGGTCACATTTGCCTCGGAAATCTCAATTTAAATCCTTATATTTTGATAGTTTCAACGGCTTATTTAATTTATATTATTTTCAATAATTTATTCCCTGTCGAAAATTTCAACAAATATACAAAGCTTAGGCTACTGAATCCGAAAAAGATAACCAGCCAACAAAATAACACAAAAAGACAACTAAAACAATTTGTTGATGGGGCAACAACGGGGTAAGATGAAGTAGTCTAATGCAAATTAATAAAAGCGGGATAATGGTTTTCTCGGAGCGGCACGTCCAAAGTTAAAACCGCTACTCGAACTTTAAATTCAATCTTTTAATTAACATCTAAATTTACAATTCACGAGTGCCACGCCCCACAAATACAGGAGGCGCCCGAGCGCGCATTAGCCTCTGTCATTCCCAAGGCTATCCATCATATTTTTGCTAGTCCTGAGAAATGCATAATTTATTCTTCTGTGTTCGGTTCGCTTTAATGCAATTTTTGACATTTGACAGTTACATTAAAAATCGGTACGAGCTAAGTACTACCAAAAAATAAAATTTCGATTAATAAAGTACCGAACAACCGTTATCACGGCTGATTTTTTAACGAGACTGCGAACACGCGGTTTCCAGCAAGACAATGTATCGCCGGTAACGAGCGACCATTTGCAAACAATGGCCGTTGGGACCACGGATAAATCTAGCTCGGGGACATTTTGACCTATGAACGGGATCCCCGGGTACCACTAGTAATTGCGTCCGACGTACCTTACTGTCGATCCTTGTGATTAATTACGCATTTTAATGGAAGACGGAAGGATACGTTCTTCCATACACAAAGAAGCACCGACATAGTTTTAAGTGTGTGATACCAGAAGTTATTTCGCCTAGGTGATGATCAGGCATCCTCAGTCCCCCAAAAAAACTTATCTTTCGTGACCTCACGTTTCTATCCGCCCGTGACCTCTTTGCTGATCGAGATTTTATCTTTAGTGGAGCCTTGTGCCATGCGAGTCGCCGGGCGTGATGTTGAGCCAAAAGAATAACATCGCCATCTCAGCGCCGAATATCATCTTTCCGACACCGCGAGAGCTCGTTATTTTTTTAGTATCTTAGTTTTGAAGCTAACGAGCACAAAGATGTGGAGAGTGATGGCCAAAACAATTGTCGACGTTCATCTTTTCTTCTTTTCTTTCTTTCTGCAGAAGTTCGTGATTCTTGAGCTATTCATGTCTTCAATACTGCAAGCTGTTTCTTGAAGGATTACTTACTCTTTCCATATGAAAATAACGGCAGAGCCAAAGTATTGTAACTTTATAAGTTTTGCAATTAATTGTTATCCTGTCCTACCACTTCATTCGTTATTCTTTGTGGACATGATATTCCTTATAACTGCCAGTAGTTTCTACTCATCCTGCCACCTGCCATATATTTTTTTCCAGTATATTCAGTTTGAGTGAAATAATTGAATATCCTGGAACATTGCATGGTTCTGAGATCTTTAAGCAGTGTTCAGTCATAAAAATTAATTCAGGATTTTGGTGATTATTCCTTATTAGATTAGAATTCCTATAAGACAAGTGACAATTTTCAAAATTACAGCGAAAATTCTTTTGTCCATTAGTTTACCTAGAGAGAATTACAGCAATAAGTCTCCCATGTTATTGTATTCATGATTGTCATGCTAATTTTTGATACAAACAAACGGTTGCTGTTAGGAACCATTAATTTGTATTGATTGTTAAGTTGTTCAAATCATTTTTAAATATTTATTTTCATATTTTTCGGATTTTCATTCGAGAAATAATCCTAATAATCCACTCGTCCTACGGACTCGTCAAATTATAGAAAACACGCGATCGTGGAAAATTATCGGTAATTTTGAAGCTCTCGTGGTATTATTCCCGATTATCAATAAAAACGCTAAATTCGTCAATTTTGCTTCGTAGAGTGAATATTTAAGATTAAAGCCTGAGCATTTGGGCGATTCAATTATGTTATTGTAGGAACCTTTTGGGTCTAAAAAAATAAATCAAATTCAATTCATCTTCACGATCAACATCTTCTGTGTCTTCCAATAAGAAAACCTGAATCACATTGATAGTTTCGCCAATTTGACCCGCTAGTAATTGAGTATAAGTAGGATTTGCATCCAAACCATTAACACATTTGGCACAAGGGTTAGAAAGGGTGGGGACGTGTTTTAAAATCCTGCTACTGTTAACATAAGATAAAACATTATTTAAAAAAGAATGCCTTGACAGTCGAAATCTGCCATTTGCTTTATTTTTAACAAAACTTTAATTGATGCACTTTGGCATTTGAGGAAATGTTGACAAAGGGAAACAAACCTTGCATACCTGTTGTACTTCCAGTTAGAATATCGCAAAGAAAAAATTAAATTAGTATATTTACCAATGAAAAACATTATCCCCAAATAAAGTGAATTGAGAAAACCAACAGAACTCAAGTCAATAGTTATAACATTATCCATATTACCATATCCCGCCGCCGTTAAACCAAAGAGTTTGGCTGCCATATCGGAAATTGCAATAGCACGGTGGCATTCTCCATAAATCAAGTATTCATCAGTCAAGCCGAGCAGTCCATCAGCAATACCTCTAGAACTTGCGTCACCAAAAACCAGGACGCTGTTTTCATTGTTGGGATAGGCTGGAGCATATATAGTTTGTGGAGTCTGCTCATGTGTTATATCTTTGTTTTTGTTGTTCTCTAGCAGCAGGAACATCTTATGGACATATTTTTTCTGCTTGTTTTGGAAGACCTTATTTTTGCGCTTTTTAATGTCATTCACGTATGCTTCAATTTGTTGCTCTAGCGTGTCGATAGTCGTCACCATTTGAGTTCATTCCGTCGTCATTTCTCACATCTCACCTTCCAGAGATACAAGTATTTGTTGATACTTATGAAGCTTAAATAATAATTGGGTGTTCTTTACTTCCACCTACGAAATGTGATTACTTAAGAATTCGTTGGTTTTTTCTAGTTCTTTGGCATTATTCAAAAGTTTCTGTTCCAATGAGTGAGTTTTGCAAACATGCTCGTTGATCTCCTGAGATAAAACTGACTTCAGTTCAATTGCTTCTATAAGGTATTTCTCTATTTGGATGAGCTCACTCTGTGATGAGATGGTGGACAGGTAGCTTTGCTCTACTTCAAAAATCTCATCATCAAGAGTATGAGTATTTTTTTCCAGTCGCTTGATGTGCTGATCTTTAAGTTTATCGTCTGCCTATCAATTTCTTGTTTAAGGCTCGATTTTAAATCCTCAAGGTCTGTCCCAAGAGTACCGATGTAGTTCTCTTTTTGAGTCAGAGTAACTCTTAGTGTTTCATATTGACATACCAACTGGCCATCACTATCTGTGTCTATCAAACAAGACTTGCAGGAGCTGCACAGAAATGAGAGAATTCTTATTTGTTTATTTAGTGCATCAATATCAGTAGTGGTCATGTTAGAGTCCTTGCATAAAAAACGGTGATATTGGTCGCAGTTAGTACCAAATCTTTCACCATCCTTATTAATGGGTCGACGCTTGGTAATGCACTACTTCTCGAAAACTGAACATTTGGACGCCCAGGATCGGAGTTTAAAAGACATTCCTGTCCCAGGTCACGTCAAGATGGTACGATACTTCTACCTGCAAACTATCTCGAAAGCTACCCTAATTGAGTTTAAGCAAGGATGTGCCTATGCCTCACCACGGGGTTTTTGACAGGTCAGCCACCTGAACAAAAAACTCCATTCAATGGGATTAAGCGAGTCCCTGACAAGGCTGCGAAGAAGAGGACAAAATAGGAAGCCTTCTCAGGCAAAACCGACTTTTTCAATGCTTTACGGTAAGGAATGGCCTGAATGGATTGGCATGACCTATGGATGTCTATTTTCGAAACTGGGGAACAGTGTTTTCAGGAGAACGATTGCTCTGTCTTTATCAGTGTTGTGGAAATATAAATATAGGCGACTAAGACAGAACCTTCGTTCTCATGAGAACGCTCCCCTGTTTTCAGAATAAGGATCCAGGGAGGATGATCAAGGTGTCGCGGCCCGTCAGGATCGCCCTACACTACATCCAGAACCAGGGTGGCCGTAACCAGCGCTATCCTACCGTTTATTTTATTCGGTTTCCATTCTAATCGCAAATTCCAGTACAGGTTGGCAAGCGACCATTCTAAAGCTATAAGTGTTCTTGATGTTTGTAGTGGAAAGGAAAAAAATAGCGTTTATTGTCACCAAGTTATTCTATGATCTAAATAAAGAATTTGCTGTTTAGTGTCGATAAATTATTTGGTGGTTCGATTGATTGCGGTTTGGTGGCTGGAGTAAATTCACCCAATGTATTTTCTTCTATGTATTTCGATCTCGTTGATCCAACTGGGTTTATAGCCAGGTATATACCCCTCGGTTAGCGCGTGTGGGAGTGGCAACATCGACGCGTTATTGTTTGTGTGTACACTGTCAAAGGCGTTTACGAGATCTTTATAGATCACTTGGCCAGATAGCCCTAACATTCAGAATGTTGGCGTCCCGACATGAGAGTTCACCTCACGGTACTAATAAGAACATACGAACACATTTTACCGCCAAAAGATAATCGAGTACTTAAGGTAAAAACTTAATTGGATACTAATATATGTGAGGGGACTGAAAACGAATAATTTCTTCAAAAAATTTATATCTATGCAATTCCGGCTATGGCAGGCAGATCGATAGGTCCCCTTGAGTCAACTCTTACAGGTAATAGAAAAACATATAACCCTATACACTCAATGACAGTGGGCAGTTTCTTACAATTCATTCGTTGCATCGACGTTGTGTCGTATTTCCGATGTTCACGCCTGTTGGAGAGAAAATATAGATCCATTAGCATCTTGCCCGATCCTAAATTATTTTTATTTTTATTATACGAAAAATCGCACATTGATGTAGGCAGTGTCTCTTATCTCGTTAAAAGGAGAAAAAAAGATTGCGACATCAAACCCAGAAAACGACAAAAGCGCTATTTTATGTAGACCACATCCCACAGAGGCGTAAAACATTCTCCCAGAGATGTTCTTAAATTTTTCCATGACGATAAATCGATCCCGGGTCTGGCGCAGTTGTCTCCCAGTGTTTACGAGCTGGCGCGTTTTAGTACCCGCGTTCTCTCCCTGCTTACAACCAATCTAAATTCAATCACCATATCGACGACGCGATTCAAAACAAAGTGCGATTACGGAGATAACTGACAATATGTATGCAAATTAGACGAGTATTTACAGGCACTTTATGTATGCCCGTCTGATGGCTAACAACACCACGGGGATATTTATTACGAAATAGGACTGGAAGGCGACTGGGACGCAATGCCGCGCGGTGGATCCAAGCGAAATGCCATTTCGCGTTCGTGCGCTGCTTGTCGTTAAAAGGAAGCGGCAGACAATATTGCACCATAAACGCGAGGGTTAAATTAAATTTTACCTGTTAGGCATGTCATATTAAGGTAACTTATGGAAGACTTTTTACATAGTCTTTATCATTCGTCATTCAATATTACCTGTTGAATTTCTCTACCTGGAGGCTGCAAGTGCAGAAAATTTTTAATTGTTGTGTGCCAACATTTTGAGAATCAAAATATTGATGACCAAAAACCAAACTTTGGCATGACTGATTTAGAAGAGGCAACTTTGTAATTTCCCCCTAACAAACAGCGATTTCATTTTCCCAGTTTTTAAAACTTGAGGCGCCAGTGAAAGGCTACATGGTGCCTATACGCTAGAACTGGAGTACTGGTGAATTGGTTTTTTTAGGATCCACGAAAAACTGTTGGCATCTTATCAAAGCTATCCAATCAAAGCGGGCATTGGTAACTGCAGAAATCTAAGAAGCTTCTGACTTCATGATTTTCCTCTAGAAAATCGTACCGCCTGGACTGTCCCTGAGTCTGATCATCAAGATCTTTGCCCCACCGTGACATACAGGTATGCCAAACACGTCTTTTAAACGAATCCTCTCAAAACTCAATCCGTCATAATATTCGCCAGAGTGCATTGCATAATCGAAAAGGAATTACAATAAATTGATAAAGGCGATTTCCAGGACTTACGCGCCCGTCTGTAGACCTGTATAGAGACCTGTCGTAAGCTGTATCAGACCAGTCTCAAGAACTGTATAGCTGTATACAGACCTGTCTCTAGACCTGTATAGCTGTATATAGACCTGTCTCTAGACATGTATAGCTGTAGACAGGCCTGTCTATACACTTGTCTCTAGAATGGTCCGAGGGTTCGGTTCCCGAACCAGACTTTTTTTAAATACAGAAATTATTTCGAGTGACCGACATCGACGACGACGAGGATGAAGAGCCGATGGTGAAACGAAGATATCCGGTGCAGTGACTTCGTACCGAGACCTGACGTGCGATCAGCCAGAGCTTAAGGTTATCAGAGTCATAACCTTGAACGGAACAAAAATTTGCAGATTGGACCTTGAATTTTCTCATGAAGATTTACATGAGAAAATGGGTGAAAGTGTGCCAGCTCTGTCCTAGCACCTCTACTTAATAAGTAGTTGTCTGACCTTGACATCATTTAGCTTATCATATTCAAAACAGCTCGTTTTTGGTCGCTAGTACAACCTTCGATTACCATAAACTATGATGTCATCCTGGTCTTCCTAGTGGTTGGCAAATAGGTCCAGCGTTGCCTGTCTTGATGCAGTGTTCTACTAAATGAGTTCGCCAAGTACTTATTGTTCCTTGTACAAAAACACCAGGCTCGCATTGAGTCAAAGACTTCTTTTCAGTTTTTTTTATTCTCAAGTGTTTAAGTTCGCCACTTTTTCTCCCCAATCTGCAGGTTTATTAGTTGAAGCATCATACCATTTTGTTTGCATATAATTTTACGATGCATAATGGCTTAGTCCTTAACAAGCCTCCAATAAAAAAATTAATCAGCAAAACCAATGAAAAATCGGTCGAAAAAAAAATGTATCCCCGAAATGACAAATTGATTTTTACCAAGCCAGACGCAACACGAACCTGGGGCCCTGGTGCGTGGGCTGAAACAAATTAACAGTTTTTGTAGTCTCGTGGTTTTAATAAATTGTTCATCTTAACTTTTAATAAATCGTGCTTTAAATTGCCCGACGTTTACCGGTAATTTCGTGTCGAGACCGCGGATTGATTAATCAACGTGAAAAATTAGTCGGCGAGCACTCAAGAATGTGTTATTTTTCTTTTAGCGATTTTCAATTTAACTAGAATAACTTTGTAACAGTTGAAGTTGGTGGCATTTGCTGATGGTTATTTAGTTTCAATCACTGTTGGAAAAGTTCTGTTTTCCAAACACCTGCTTGCTATTAATCCTATAGTCAATATACATACAGATAGATCTATAAACGATATTTAATGCAAAATGCAACTGATTTTATCACTCAAAATGAATGTATGCATGCACCTTTAGTGATTGTTTATTACTACTAGACATGAACGATATTAAATACATATAGAGAAGTTATAGAAAAGAAACTAATAAGTAAGTAAGGAGCAGGTTAATGAAATCTGCTGCCAGAATCGGCAGAGTACCTATGAATAATATGTGTGGAGTAACAGAGGAGAAAGCATACTTAAAATCCATAATAATATCTTTATATTATGTAACTGTAAATTGCGATCGTGCAAAATTTAAATAAACAGCACCTGGGACAATGAAATTCACGAAAGGCAAAGCAAATACCATACCAAATAGAATTATTAAAAGACATCATAATGTTAAGGTTAAACTTTACACGACTCGCCGCTGATAAATGTAAATTAAAACATCAGTTTGACGAGCCGTTTAAATCTCGTTGCGAATTGCGACGTGGTTCTTATGTGCTTGAGAGCGAATATGATTTTAGGCCACAGGGAGCAAGCACAGATGGTTAAAAATTACTTTTATAAAAGCCGTGACAAGAAAACAAACCATTGCAAATTCAAAACAGTCTACATTAATGACATATTATTAACAATGTCATTGAATAACTATGCACTACCGCAACAAACAGACCACTCTCGCAAAAGCAATTTTTTACCTTCGACATTATCTAAACATATTATTAACGTTATATTAATCATACGCAAGCATTAAGTCCCTCTAGCAAACCGAGTCATTGCATGGGCTTCAAGGTTCCATAGATCAAACATAATTTTCTACTCTACATTAGTCATAACATATTTTCGATTTTTTTTTGCTGGAAGATTTTAATCGATTACCGTAGGAATTTTTGATATAACCTTCAAAAACAAATATTAAACTATAACCTACTCCATCTTAACGATATATAGTCTGGGAGTTAACGACATATTTCATTGTACCATTTCCGCAAGCCTCATTCTTTTTGTATTTATTATGCGTGTAATATATGATAGTAATATGAACGTCTGCCAGCGCACCCGCACGACAGGGGGTTACAAGAAAGTTACAAAGATGGCA